AGACATTAACCTTTGCTATTTGTTCGCGTTAATAAATTTGAATAAACGGGCTGAACCACATCTTTATTATCATGTATATTGTTTGTTTGCAATCACGCTGCACTATTCTTTTCCAGACGACCCAACTGTTCTAACAAGATCCATATCGATACTAATTGAATCTATTTACGAACTAATCAGATGTGAAAAAAAAAATGTAATTGCTATCAAAGAATTCATACTACATTTGCTTAAAATAGCCCATCCGTGTTCAGCTTTTTTCGAATTAGCCGTTTTAGCTTTATTTTTCGTTCAAAACGATTTTGTTAAAAAAAGCTCAAACATGAAAAATCAGCTTATTAAACGCGAGTTTAATGATTACTGTAGCTTAGCACGATTTTGGATATTACTTTACTACAATAGTAATTATTTAACAGCCATTTACTCAGAGTTTGAATTGATCACTGAACTGCAATTAAAATCAAGAACGCTATTCCACAACGAAAATGATTTTAATATTATCAAATTCAGACAACAAATTACGTTGCTTCGAGAAAATTCTCCAATGGAAAGAATTATTCTGCAAGACGAAAACTGCATAGATTTTTTGTTTTCTAACAGTGAATCTGCTTCCAATTATCATTTAGCAGAAATCCTTCAATCGACGAAGATTTGCCCACATGAAAAGTCTAAAATTGCTTGTGTTGCGTACTGGCAAAGGTTTATTCCAAAAGGGAATTACATTCCATTTTTCAAAGCGACCGTCCTACAGTACATAATCCCAATACTATTTAATGATGTTATTTCCAAAATTTATTTACCGCAGTCCTCCAAAGTTTTTGAAGAACTTCTACTGAAGGTTTACAGATTAGATTCAATATATTTAAACAGAAAAAATGATATTTACAAAGATTACCAGGGAATGAATTTCGACGACATAAACATATCTCCTGAACACAATACAAGAAACCGATTTGAGTCAATTGTGAAAACGTACCCCAGGATTATACTAAGGCATTGGCTGATCGCAGGCGACGCTTACGAAGGAGCGCTTCCACTGTTACTCATGGGTCCTACAGCAGAATTTATAGAATATACTACTTTATCACAACCCAATTTCACGTATTACGAACTCGCTCCGGGTATCAAACTTACGGAGATCGATAATTTAACGTCTTCCATTGATAAACTTTTCAAAAGCTTGATTTCAGCCGCTTGTAGTGAAATTGATCAAATGTTCTTATATATTGTTCGATTATATATTAATCCAGCGCATGAACATAATCATCTGCTTAACATTTTTTCAATTTTTTTTAAATCTTATCCGAAAATACTTACACCGTTTCTGGATGTCGTAATGAGCGTGTTTTTTCACTTCAACAAACCATTTGAAAACAACTATACAAGCCAACTTAAAAAAGATATTACTAAGAACAACGCCTTGCATAATTTAGTTGTCCTCATACAAAAAACAATTGTCGCTAATAAATAACATAGGGAATCACCTTTACCGCTAATGTGGAATTATAAACAAAATTTAAATATATGAGCATAGCAGTTTTCGAATAAAATTTTTTTTTGTTGACTTGTTTTTAGTTTGATCACTGATGTCATTTAATTTTTTTTTACTGTCAGTTGAAATGTGTGTGCTTATTGTACTTTCAACCAAGCCCATAGCTTCTAGCACTTTTAAAGGACTTTTAAATTCACCTGGTCCGTATTCTACGTCTTTTTTGTCTTCTCGAACAATTGTTTTTACATTAGTTAGTTTGTCTGCGTAATACGTCGCCAATCTTTTTTCACGAGGTGAAAGTTCGTAGTTATCAATAAACATTTGTCTGGAATTGTTAAATTCTTCACCTACAGTATTTAAATATTGTGTAACTTACATTTTTTGAGCACATTATCGCGGCGATCACCAATTAAACGCTGACTTTGCTTTTTTTTTAAAATGTTTTCGAATTCCTCTAATTTTTCAACTTCTAATTTCCCTTCAGGATAAGTTGCTATATAAGATCTTGCATTTAAATTATCGCAATTTGTGAAAACCATGATTTGTCATACTCAATAAATTGGTGCAACTATTTAAAAAATAGATTACACCCTATTCATCATAACAACAGTGACCATATAGATCTTCCTTTTTATATTAAGTATATTAAATTTTATTATTTATCTGATATCATGCCTCCGCCTCTAGAGTCATCTTTTTGTACCCTAGATTTTTATAATGAATTAATCAACTGGGAGACACATTCGAAAGGCAAGCTCGGTAGAGTTGGAATTGTTGGTGGGTGCCAAAAATATTCGGGAGCTTGCTATTTCGCTGCTCTTTCTGCGAGTTTGGCTTTTGCAGAACTCACTTATGTGTATTGTGAAAACGCAACGCAACTAAAAGCCATGTTACCAAACTCTATTGTAACTGATATCAAATATTTTCGCGATAAAAACATTTTTGAGTCTCCTATAATCGATACTTTTCTTGTTGGTTGTGGTTTAGGTCAAGAAGAGTTCAGCGACCATGTAATGAATTTAATCTTAAATTGGAACATTGATCCTACAGAAGAACGATCTTGTATTTATGACTTTGAGATACCTGCCATAAAAAAACTACCAAAAAAATGCATAATCTTAGATGCAGACGCGTTACAGCACAAGCTAACGTCTGCAGTCATCGACTGGGCTCATAAATCAAGAGTCAGGCTCATCATGACATGCAATAATAAGGAATACGCAATTATTTCCAATTTACTCGAAACAAAACTTCATTCTGACGGCATGACGTTTTTAGACAGGCTCCCTAACAATTTTATTGTCATGCAAAAAGGCTTTGTAGACCAAATATATTTTGGAAATCAAATTTTAAAAATCGAGCATTACACGTCTATTTCTCGGCATCCAGGAGGCCTTGGAGATATTTTAGCGGGACTCACTAGTGGCCTATGTGCTTCTACGCTTTTCGTAACTGATCTTGACTGTGTCACACAGTAAGTATAATAAAAATATATTTTTTAGAGCTGCGGTCATTGTACGATCAACGATAACTACTATTTTGAAATTCAAGCCATATCTTATTTTTTCTCTACAAGCTTCTGATCTATTCGAAACGTTACCAAAAACTATTTTTGTGTGTTTTGAAGTTTACAGCCACTGCACAGCTTTTGTAAGTTTTATAATATTTGATTATTTTTTAGAACCGAATCAGTCGAAACTACGCCGTCATTGAACCAGGGAAAAATTTAAAAACCTCTGCTACATTGACAATAAATAAATCGATTGAAGAAACTCAGAAGTGAAAATTTTAATTTACGGTCTAAAATCAAAATGCATGTAGAGTTTTGCATTAATTGGCACCAAGAAAGTTCAACAAAAAAACCCCGGTAAAACTTGTTGAAAAAAACGGTGGCAAAATAAACTGTAGATTTCTTTGGCATAAAAACGAATTTTATCTTTTATGACCATATGATTTCAAATTTAATCATTTATGATAATACTATGATCCAGCAATCTGAAGCAACCAATGATAATCAATATTATGCAAAACAATTGTCTGATCAATCGCCAATAATAGATGATTTTTTGGTAAAGCCGTGCTATAATGAAATTAAACCTTCAGTTTCAACTGAAACTAACGTTGAACAAACCAATGAAGTCGTAAATGAAAACACGGATTCTGATTTTAACACTAATGGAAAACATTGCTCACGTACAAAATTAATAAATACACGGAAAGAAATCGATCAAGCACAACATTTTGATATAGAGCAAGATCCAAAAAAGATATCACTATGGTACGGAAAATCGTCAGAATTTAGCTCCGACTTGGAATATCCAATAGAAGCTGTAAATAATCAAGAACCAGAATTATATCATTCAGATATCGGTTGTTACAAATATTTTCATGAGTCAGATTTAGAAACCTCAAGCAAAAACAGTTTGTCACCTTATATTCCAGACATTAAAAAACCTTCACACGTAAATCCTGAAGCAAAAAAAATTAACGTTACAGTAATTAGTCATAACCCTAGGATTAAAGCAACGAATTACAGTGACAGTGTAGATTACGACTCTGAAAATTCTTCTAATGAGATTCTTTTTAGGCTTTCAGCTAAAGATTCAGATACTTTCAATCCTTGCCAAGACATTACAGATTTAATGAATCAGGTGATACCAACAGATGCAAACGCTGAAGATTGTTTTGTTCAAAGTTGCATTTCACTCAGTGACGAAAATCTGACTAGTATCACGCCACCAAATTGTGAATCTGGAGACCTGCTCGATTTAGAAATTCGTAAGTTACAAAAACTACTTGAACAACTTGAGTCTAGTAGTTCTTCATTTCATGATTTACACTCTATTTCATTTCAACCAGGACATACCCAACCAATTTCGTCTATTGGCTGCATTATGGAAGACAAATCTATGAATACCTTGTCGTTCAACGAATATTTTACCAAAAATAATAAACAGGAATTAAACAGACATAATGATGAAAAGCCCCCCAGTAAATTAACTTCAGCAGTAGCTCTTCTCAAATCATTGCCTAGCAAAATATTTGGAGGGGCTAATAGCGAAAAACAAAATAATGATCATAATAAGTCAGAACTTCAATATAAAATACGCACAGCATCACTTTCAGTGTCTCAATCATATTATAGTAAAAAAAGTCAAAACTGTTCAGATATGAATCGTTCGATGTCTATACGGAATTCTGATAAAGTAAATCCAACGCAACCAGAACTCAACGGTACGGAGCTATCTAAAACGGCCATGACTAATTTTAGTACAAAGTCTGACGAATACAGTGCTAATGAAAACAAAGCAGCTGATTTATTGATACCGTTATCATCGCATTCAAGTTCTGAATCTGAAAATTTCGATTATAAAAATCCTCTTTTAGAATGACGACTCCTGTGTGATAATTTGAATTGCTATCAGTTAACGTTAAAAAAACAAATACCCTTACCCAGTGTGATAATATATATATATATATATATATCAGAATTAATAGATCAAAAAAGTGGACAACGTGGGTATCGATCCCACTACCTCCTGCATGCAAAGCAGGCGCTCTACCATTTGAGCTAGTCGCCCGTAACCAATAAAGTGGTTAAAGAGCCTGGTGGTATTGTGGATTATAAGAAATTTCACATGTTTACATAATTCATGTTTGTGTTAAGATTGTTACTAGTAGCTAAACTAGACTCAATAACTTTTTGGCTTGGCACGTTATTATTCCAATGCATCTCCCAACACCGTTTTGAATATAGTTTAAGCAGCCGTTTTATTCGATTCTCTTCCACACGTTCCAAGTTATATTTTAATTGTTCAGTCTTAAGCCGTTCCAACACGTTTTCTTCATATTGACTAAACTCTATAAAATCTTTCCAGTATTTTTCTACTTGCGGGCTAATAGCTGAAAGCAAATGAACATCATGCTTGACTTTATTTAAACTTTCGCGTTTTTTTGACAGCTTGTACCGAATTAACTTATGTTTCACGTTCAAGTAAAAAAAAAATGCTTTCCACGAAATACTAAAATAATTGCAGTCTTCTTTTGTAAGATAGCATTCGGTTTCTGCAATGACATCATTGAACAATGGCCTGATTGATTTAATTCGTTTTGTAGATGGCTGGTTAGGCAATTGTCCATTTAATGCCACAATTTGTGAATTTTTAAAATGAGCATTCTCGCAGTCAGGAAGTTTATCAGAAAATTCATCCAAGCATTCTGGGTGTTTGGCATTTAAGGCTTCGTTTAAAAATATGTCACTACTTTCATAAGAACTATTAAAGTAATAATCATAAAGGTAAGGTTCGTGCTTAATCATTTTTAGTTTACGAAATTGCTAGTCAAAACAACATAAAATACCAAAGATTTAATCGTATCTTCAAGTTTTAAAAAAATAAACTGCTGCACCTGCGCTTAGATCTGTCTCTACTATACTATAGCTCACGCTGTAAGTTTCTGGTTTAACAAGATGCAGGTTTTGTACAATATCACTCGAACGTACAACAATTTCGGCTGTATATTAATTAATTGAGAAACAAGTTTTTCTGCGAGAATCAAAGTTTCAACATTGGAGATGTTCATAGATATCAATTCTAAAGCCTTTACACATCTAATAAGTTCAAAATAAGTTAAGTTATCTAGTTCTTGCACAATGACAAACATTTTCAAAACAAAATCATTGGCTTTGGACAATAAACTCTGGGTGGAAAAATTGATTTTCAACGTTTGCTCAGACAAAGTCAAGTTCATGTTCCACATTAACTGATTAATCGAGAGATTATTGCTTAAATATTCGTATATACGTTTCAAAGACTCAAATTTGTTTTTTCTAAATACTTTCATGTTTTCCAAAAACTTAAGTACTGCGGAAATTTCCGCGTCTTGAGATGTGTCGTTTTTGCTAGCCAGATTTTTAGTAAAAAAGTTTAAGTCATAAATAACTAAATTTTCCGTTAATTCAACGGCTTCGACTATGCTACGTAACATATGCCAAATCCGCATTTGCTCATCACGTATAAAGCGTTTGCAAAACCCAATCAAAAACGAAGGGTTTAAAGCCGAGAAATAAATACAAAGCTTCACCAACAAATACAAACACTTAACCGATTGTGCAGTAATTATATCTCTTAAATGCTGAATTGTGTCGTTGTCAAATTGCAAATGCTTCTTCATTTTGTCTTTCGTATTGATGATCACCTCGACGTACAAAACAAACAGACCAAACGGGATTTGATGTGTCGTAAGCCACTGAATCAGAGAAGTCTGACAATCGGGGATATGTTTGATAAGGGAAATGAAGTCCTCGTAGACGAGCATGTAAGGTTTTACATAATCGAAGAGGTACACGAGTAGGTTGATAATGTTGAGGTTCGAGGTACTATAAGGGGTTAATAAATTTTTCAGAATACCACTAAATTCAGTAGGGGTGTAAATTCGAGTTTTGAATGCAGAAAGTATTATTTTGTTAAATGTTTCAGTGTCGATTTTGTCCAGTAAAGGTTTATTTGTTAAAACCGCATCACAGTACGCTCGGGAACACTTTTGCACCGAATGTTTCGTTTCAAACAACTTAGTTTCACAAACACAAAACGTAGTATCGTCTGAAAAGTCGTTTTCGTATTTTGTTAAAAAAATGTTTTTCCACTCTTCTTTTGAAAAAAGAGCCATTTCAGAAAAGTTTTTCACATTTAAATCCATGAAGCGAACTACACTTAAAAGAGATTCGTACCGTTCTAAATTCGCGACGAAAAAGCGTAAATCTCGATCTGTTTTCTTTGCTTCGTCAGAATCTGGTCCCTCTCCGTCATCATTCAAATAACATGATTGCTTGTTAGCCACATATTTGTGATCGACGATTGGCGCCGATAATTGATCTTTCAGGAGCTGAATATAATTTAGTAAAATCGGATTATCATCAAACAATTTCTTTTCGTCACAATAGTTAATCCAGGTGTTAATATATACCTTAAATTTATCTACTGTTGAAGAGAAAAACGACGAATCGTCTAAATTTTTTTCTAAAACAAGATTGTAGTCACTCAAAACTTCAAATGCGTCTGAGTAAAACGAAACCACAGCGCTAAACCAATTCTTTTTAGCAATATTAGTCACAACAAAATCATTAAACAGAAGAGTGAAATTTTGTTCGTATAAATTAATGAACTTCATCGTAAAGGGAATAACTTGATTCAAACAATACACACAAGCGAAAAATCCGCTGTGTACAACGGCTTGGCAAAACATGAAAAAGACTTTAAAAAAAAGAGAATCGAAGTAGCTGTGAGAAGATATCATTTTTTGCATGATGTAGTTTTTCAAAAACTCGAAAAAGCGAAAAAAGTCGTCTATAAATGTTTTAGCAGGGTCGGTCGATTGTAGTTTTAAAAACTCCTTTTTTGTTTTTCCGTGCATAATATGATAAAAATGGTAATTGTATACACGAAATTCGGTCGCTAATAACACCTGAATAATTCTTAAAAAAATATCTTGTGCTGAGTCATCAAGAATAATATCATCTTCAGCCAAGAAAAACAGTAATTCACAAATAGGTTTAACTAAAATACACAAGTTACTTGGAGGAGAAGCACACACGCCAATTAAGATATGTTCGAAATCTAGTAAAAAGCGGTCTAAAAATTCCACTGACGTTGTGTTGTTTTCCGCAAAATCCTTAAATAGATCACTAATAATACTATTTAGCTTTGACGTCAGCTTTTCAGCCAAGTAACAAAAAAAAATATCACGAATTGACGATTTTGTCATTAACATGATGCAGTAGTTGAGTGCCTTATTTCGAGACTCATCAATGTTAATATCGGCGTCGTCTTCTATAAATAAGCTCGTAACAGGAATTATTCTTTCTGTCACAACTGTACTGAAAAAAGTGAACGGCACAGCGTATTCAAAATTTGCTGTATCAAACGGTGAAACAGTTGATGAGATTATCTCGTTATTTTTCTGAGTAAATATACGCCATGAATAGATCGGAATTTCAAATTTAACGTTATTGAATTGCGAGAGATCGACGGCCTGGTCAAGTAAAAACATGTACTTTAGTAATTTTTCAACGAATTGTAACGACATATTAGTGCTAATTAAATGGGAGAATATGGATATGATTTGAAACTTAACGATATGAACGATTTCTTTTGCGTTGACACGCAAAAAGAAACAAAACAAATCGATATATCTACGCCTAATATCGCTTGTCAAGTGGTGAGAGGACAAAAAAATAGTTTGATAAATGAAAAATACCGTAATAATATTGATACTTATGTCCTCAGAAACACTAGTATGAATGATGTTTTTATACATGAATTTTGAATCGTCACTTGCTATGTTTTTCCAAAATTTAGAGTGAACTTCAGGCAACAAAATTTGCGGAAATGCAGAGATCGGTTTTTTGTAATTGTCTGATAGAATTACGTCTACGAACTGTTCAGAATCGTTTTTCGATTTTTCAATGTTACATTTGTTTTTATAGAGAATCGCCTTTGTAATAAAAAATACTACGTCAAGAAACCCAGCCCCGGCCAGAAACCATTGTAAAAAAAAAGGAAGTAAACTAGTCGCGGTATTCATGAGTTTTTCGTCGTCACAATCAATCTTAACCAAGTAAATGTTTGTTTCGTAGTATATAGTCAACTTGCTTAGAATATTGATACAGTTGAGTTTTATTCCAAAGTTCCTTTCTTTGGCGTACGAAATCGCGTCGTCAACTGACTCCAAATAATCAGCTAAACTGAGAGAATCATCAGGTTTCAGATAATGTTCTCGAAAACTAGATTCTAACAGATCATTTGGTAAATCATTTAAACTGCTTTTAACATTGATATAGCTAATAAATCTTTCAATAAAAATCATGCTGTTCAGGTTTCGTTGAAGTATAACAAGAGTTAATTTAAGCCATAACAACAGTCACGAAAATATTATTTCTTTGGATAAAATTATAATAAATTAAAAAATTACAACTACCCAGTATTATTCACTTGTCCCGCTAAATAAGTGAAAATAAACTTTGCTTTAAATACCTACTTGTAGTCTGATCAATATTAGTGTTTACGGCAAACAACTTATTCATCACAAACTCAGTAGCTAATATTTTATTTTTTATAAACATCTTTTCCATCTCTTCTTGTTTTTCTTTAAAGATTTTAACGTTTTGCTCTTCAAGGTTTTTTTCCTCATCGAGATTTTTCATGCGTTCAATTAAATTTTTTTCTTCATTTTCGCGAAACTTTTGGCAAATTTCTTCTCCAGCCTTGCGACCTTCTTCTATTTTTAACAACCAATCTGAAATCTAACTCGAATTTACACTTACTATCTTTAGCTTTTTTTATTATTTCTTCAGCTTCTTGTTCTGCTAAGATCAACTTTTCGATAAATGGATTTAGCATTTTTAAAATTAAAATCTAAATTGACTTTGTTCGAGCCGATAAACGAGCTTAAATTTGAATTAGGTTTTATCTTAATTTATTAATAAAATAATATTAAATCAAATATAAATCTGATCGATCTAAAAAGGAGCTGATTCTTTATTAAACAAATTTAACTTAGTCTACAAGTCTTAAATACTAAACAAAACAATGCGTTATTTAACAATAGTTTGATTGTCGAGGATCAAAATTTTTGATACGATTTAAATAATATCAAAATGAAAGACTTAGTTAATTAAACACTGACATAACATTTAGTATTGTTTTAAATAGCATGATAAAAACATTTTTATTTATTAATGCATAAGCTACTCTATGCTATATCATGTCACTTACTAAGTTTGAATTTAAAAATATGACATTGCTTTTCTTCTTGGAACTACTAAAAATAGCCCGACTAAATTTCTTATTTGAATCTTGGTAATCATTGATTTTGAACTTCATTGGAAGAGCTAAATAATTATCTAAACTAGCGGAAGAATAGAATCGAGAATCGTTTGCGAATAATTGGCGCAGTGAAGGATGTACTATCAAATTTTCTGGAAAAAACAGTTCAATTTCTAGATGTGAACAATCGTTCAAAGGTTCTCTTGATTCATAACCAATGCTGTCTGAGCAAGTTGAGTTTGTGATAGGCGAGCACCACACACGTTCACTCGCGTCGAAATACACAGAACTGGTTTTGTCATCATTTTTGGTTCCAATAACTCGAGGCGTAATAGGACTTGAACATTGATCATTTTTTTTATCAATTTTCGGCAACATTTTCACTTTAGTCAAACAATGCTTGCTCGCAAAATCAGGCAATATTTTTTCTATTATATCGTTGTTTTGGTAATATAGTTTAATAACTTCTTGCTCAGTCAAGCCGAGTAAACTGCTGTTAAGGCTGTCATCGGGAGCTAACCCGATATTTTCATTAAAAACCGCCTTAGAGACGGTCTCGAAGTAATGGATACTCCCATTTTTAAGTTCTTGTACAGTAAAAGTGTCTTCAACGGGACCTAATTCGTGTAAAAAATGACATGATTTATTTGTACAATTCAGCCGCATTATAAAATTACTGCAGTACTTAGTTGTGCCAAAAGACGCACGGATCTTGTTTCCGTTCATCCAAGAATTGTGGATGTCTTTTATGGCGAACAAAGCTTCCCTATTACTCGAAAAGGCTACGTACACTGCACAACTTTTTTTTTTATAGCGTTCACGCGTAGCTGGTTTTTTATTGACTATGACGCTTAACACATTGCCGTATTTTCCAAAATATTCGAAGTTCTTTAACAAATGTTCATTTTCCGAGTAATGTATCGGTAGTCCTACGATGTAAACTAAATTTCTACACAATATTCTTAAATCTTTGAGTTTTTTGAAAATCTGCGAACTATAATTTGAAGAATTCTTAGGATACTGATATTGACATTCTGTAAACTTTTTTAAAATCTCATAATAGTTATCCATATTATTTCTTTTTACTGTAACTAATATTAAAAGCACAAGAGTATAGCTTTTTATTCAATCTTATACTTAAACAACAATAATCATCTTACAAAGAACTCATCGATGAAATATAATCGAAAAATAATATAGTAATAACATACACAATTTTTTTAATTATTTTTTTTTTCAAATATTAGACGACTACACACTTGATTATTTTGTATTAATAAAAATAAAAAACAAATTATTTAAACACTTTCACGATATGCCCATTGACGATTTAATTAAAAAATTCAACAGCCAGGCTAAATCCAAAGCAGAAGCTGCTCAGCCCCCAGAACTCACTAATGTACAAAAATTAGCCCAACAGTTTAATCAAACTTCTAATACTAAAAAAAAGAATGATGTTAATTCAAAAAAATTAATAAATAATAAATAATTCAATTTAAGAAACGCTAAACGTGCGTTATTCAATATAATTTTATTAATTCCATATATTGCCACAATGTTTTGACATGCTAAGCCTCTAATGAATATTTTAAAATCAAATAAACTGGGGCCTATAGAATTGTATAAAGTAAATGATTCAGATCATTACGGTACAACGGTAGCTGTAAACTTCCTCGTTTTGTTCGTAGTGATAATCGTATTCAATAGTATGTTTTCCAAGCTGAAATTTCGTAGTTAACCGAAGCAGTTTAAGTATCATCTCACAAAAATACATTATATGTGCAATTTTATGTTCTTGTAAGTGTCGGTCACACATCTTGTTTAAGTTTGCTCTGCAATCAATATTCGTATTGCATGGCGAATAAAAGAAACTTATTCGGTACATGGAAAAACTCAAAAAGAAATACGTAACAGAAGATTTCCTTTTCTTGTTCTCATCATCTGCGAATATTTACTCGGCTTTTTTAGTTTTTTTTCTATTGAAACTCCATCTCTCTATGAGTCAGATCAAACAGAACATTTTATAGAGGTGTATCAAAAGCAATGGTCTGATCTATGCACTTTAGTAGCTATAAGTCATTTATTAGCTACCACAGTATTTTTATTTTCTTTATTGTACACTTTCTCAAAGTTTAAACACACATAGGCTAATTGTCCATTCTATTATATTTGAGAAGACAAAACTAAAAAAGTCTTATTGAGTTTTATTGTTCCTAACTTCTTTTATTGACTAATGTCTATTACTTTTACTCTATTCGGATATCCAGACACAGCCACTAAAACTAAGAAATTAGAATATATAATTGACAAAAAAGATGTGCCGACCCTAGGTAGTTTAATGCAATATGCTACAAAAAAAATTTTAGCTAGTGAAGGTCTAATTTACACATTTTCGAACTGTAAGTAACAAATTTAGTTTATATTTTTTCAGACACCGAACTTGAATTGCGGCCTGGTGTTTTTTTTTTAATAGATTCCAAGGATTGGGAATTAATTGATGAAGACGTTTACGCACGATGGTCGTATCCACTCGACGACGTTAAAAATGTCAGTCTCATATCGACGCTACACGGAGGTTAATTTACAATCTAATTTAAGTATGTGTAAGAAAATAACTTTTTTGTGAGTAATTTTATTTTGCACCGCATTAATAGATTTCATATTTATTATTTCGCGTAACTGTGATATTATTAACTAAAGAAAATTATGGAGCCGAAATCAAACGAAGATTACGTTGAGCCAAGGCAGTCTAAAGAACAAGAACCTATTTCTAGACAAGTTTCATTGGTAATTTGGTCTGACTACAAAAAACACTCATGGTACCCTTTTTTGAGCTCATTCACATTTTCAATTGCAGCGATAAACATCGGGTATAACATAGCCATTATCAATGCGCTGACTGACTATTATGCTTTGGTCCAGCAATGGTGTATAAATGACAAGCCAAATTCCGTTATAGCATGTGAAACGTATAAATCCTACAGTGGTTTTGTTAAAATAGCATCATTAATAGGAGGTGGTATTGGTTGTTTAATTTACCCATTGTTGGGAGTTCAGAGTTTGAAAAGAGCATTTCTTTTTACTAATATCGCTTTCATTTTATGCCACATATTATTAATGCATTTAACAGAGTACTTAGTTTTATTAGTGTCCATAAGAATTATCATTGGTATTCTAATTGGATACCTTTGTTGCATCATTCCAAACTATATAGCTGAAATTTGTCCGTCGAATGTTCGAGGAAGATTTGGGGTACTACAACAATTCATGATTACAGTTGGAATCCTACTTGCAACCATAGCTCCTTTCGGAACGATTCGAGAATGGCCAATTGAAAACTTTGTTAATTATGAAGTTCCGGATAGCGTATCCGCTCTTCTTAAATACAACTACTACATTCCTATAATAGCATCAATAATTTCAATTATATTGGTACGCTTTTCATGTAACTATGAAACACCGCAATATTACGTTTCGCATAGAAGACTAAACGATGCGATATCACTACTCAAACTTTTACACAACAAAGAAAATGTTGACGAGGAATTAACAGAAATTATTAAGTCAAATCAGCAAGCCAACAATGTAAGAAGACAGAAAAAAAACTTCGTACATGGTCTTAAACAATCTAAAAACCTAAGAAAAGTTTTACTTTTCGGAATATTCTTAAGCACTTTTCAACAAATTACGGGTATTAACGTATTCATCACGTCTTCAAACCTTTTATTCAGACTTGCGGGTTATACAGGTGACAAACCTATGATTATTAGTCTGATCATGAATGCCGTTAACTGTTTGGTAACTATTCCAGCATTGTATTTGATCGAAAAACTAGGAAGACGAACTTTATTACTTATTGGTGTTGGTGGAATGACTTTGTCTATTTTACCTGCTGCTATTGCTTTTTGGTTCAAAGATGAAACAAACCATATCGCGAGAACTTTAGCAACAATTGGTTGCATAGCCTTTATTATCTCTTTCGCAATAAGTTATGGTCCGATTCTGTGGGTGTATCTTGCTGAAATTTTCCCGGTCGAGTTTAAGTTTCAACTCAACAGCATTTGCTTAGCACTTAACTGGTTTTTCGCAGTTTTAATGGTTTACATTGCACAATATTTGTATATTAGAGTTAGCTACAGCGTTTTAGCTGTCGCATGTTTGATAGCCTTCATTGTACTTTGGTTTTTTATGAAAGAAACAAAAGGAACAGTTCTTGGCAATATTGCCGAAACTTCTCATACAAAACAATCAATGGAAGTTTCAGAAAATATATAAATTATATTTCTCTTTTAACGTTATTATATTTTTAGTGAACTCATCTAACTTATATTAAGTAAATTTTTTCACCGATCATCATTAAGACATTCAAGCTTTGTAATCTCGTGATTAATGTCAACAATTCTTCATTTGTATTAATAATATTGTGTTTTTTTGCGTAAGCATAAACATATTTTATATCCCAACATTCTTCTCCAAGTTCTGTGTGAAGTTTGTGAAGCATTTGTACTAATGCATGCTCTGAATTTTGTTTTTTAATTAAATCTCTATCTGGAGTAACTGAAACACGGATTTGCTTTGTCGGTGTATAATCTAAATAAGAAACATCAATTAATTTAGAATTATTATATAACCTAGCTCTATTAACAGAATTAGGAGCCTTATCAATGTTGTGAACATCTTCTGCAAAGTCATCTAGGTTTTCGTTAAGAACTGTGTAACTGATCAGTTTTTTTGCTTCTTCAACGTCGATTTCGTCTATGGTTTGTTTCATTTTAAGTTTAGCGTGAGCTGTAGCTAATCGAATACATGCTTCAAGCAACCTTGGCGTAGGTAAATTTAATTTTGGATCGGACTCGAATATTATTTGATGTGCAATTTTGTCACGAATTTCAGAATAAAATTCAGCAATTGCTTCACAAGCTTCAGCAGACAGTTCGGGTGTTATTTGGTTTCTGCAATAGTCAATGTAAATTTTGAGAAAGTCAAAATTTAAAATTGAACTTATACCATGCGGTAAAATAAAAGTTTCATCTAGTGTAGTTGCAGGATGTTTTGCCCAAACGATCATATTTTCAGGATTTTCTATTTGCTTATTGTAAGGCTGTACAATTACATTAGCAGTTCTTTCAGATTTAATATTACGATCTAACGTAACTTGATCATACAACTCATTTGTTTGAGTACATTGTAGTTGCGATAATACATGTTTAGCAATTCTTCTGTCATGCTCCGCTGTTTTAGTTTCTTTTATTAGGTAAATTAAATCGAATCTACTTAATAACGAATCTGGAAAATTAATTTGTTTTAGATATGATTGCTTGTCGTCAAAAGAACCTTTATTAGGGTTTGCTGCAGCTAATACACAAGTTCTTGCATTTAACGTAGCAGTAATTCCAGCTTTATTAATGCTAACGTTTTGTTGTTCCATGACTTCATGAATAGCTACTCGATCATCCTCATTCATTTTGTCAAACTCATCAATACAAACAATTCCACCGTCGGCTAAAACCATAGCACCGGCTTCTAATCTTCTTTGTCCGGATGAACCATCGGCAACAACTGCCGCGGTAAGACCAACTGCACTACTACCACGACCTGTAGCACTTATTGCTAAAGGGGCTAGTTTTAAAATGTAACGTAATAATTGAGATTTACCACAGGATGGATCACCAATTAGTAAAATATGAATATCTCCTCGCATTTGAGTTTTGTCTACACTGCTTATTCTACGGACGCCACCAACTAATTGCAAAGCCAAGCCTTTCTTCACTATTTCTAAACCGCTAATGGAAGGAGCGATGCTGGCTGCAATTAATTCAAGAGTTTTAAAATGGTTCGCTACTTCTTTGAAATGTTTCATCAAAGAAAATGATATTTCTTTTGGAATTTTACTCTTCCCAATAACTTCGATGCTATTAACAATCAGGAACATCTTAGCCAAACCTGATATTAAGCCAAAGTTGTTATAAACATTGCATTTTAAGACACCTATGGCCCGAATACGATCACCGGGTTTACAAGAATTAACTAAATCGTCGCAACATACAATATCAAGTCCACGAGGTAATTGACCTGTTGGCACTGTTTCAGGAACCTCCTGAATTGTAATTATTTGTACATCATTATATTCACTCAATCCATGAGCTAGCGATACTTTAGTTCCATCAGATATTTTCACTAATTCGAATGATATACCTGTAGATAATGCAGTTTTAGGTTTGATTGAAAATTTGTCATTGTGTTCACGAGTAAAGTATCTTTCTAGCGCCTCAGCGAAATAAACACCTTTGGTTAAAGTAGAACTTACAGGGGCACATCGTGTGACAATACCTTCTACTAAAATCATCTTATTGACTAACCTATTGTGTATACCACGTGGAGTAACAGAATTTACGCCCAACCACCCGGTAATACCTAGATTAACTCCTTTCTCTTTATTAACTACATAATGTAAATAATTATTTTCATCATGTGTTGTAAGAACATTTGAAATGTTTTTAATTGACTCATCTAAAGCAGCATAATAAATATAAGGGTCATTTATCAAATACGATGCTAATTTTGGTACTAAAGAATTTAATGTTTTTAGGTCAAGAAGAACGCGGTTAGATTTCTTTTCTACGCATTCGTTAACTTTACTGTAAATGAAATCATTCTAAATAATATTTTATTCAGGATACTCACATTTAAACAACTAATATGAATTAGTTTTTCTAATTCTTCATACACAATTGCATTTGGATCAATTTCATCTTTTACTAGAATTTCAGATGACATTAATTTAGTACATCACAATAATTATTTCAATAAAAATATTATGATATTAAGCTGGATAATAATAAAAATTATATTAAAAGCAAAGAAAACGTAAGACAAGAAAGTTAATATGGTTTTAATATAGTATGATTATATTAAGTATTAGCTTGTGATTGAAAAACTTTTAACATGAATTCTTGAATTTTCATTAATTCGTTTTTTTTTGTTTGTATGTTCACATCATTACTTTTACTTATTCCAACGGCTTCACACAACCTATTAATAGTTTTCAATTCTAATTTCAAAATATCAATTTTTAAAAAATTTATTTCAAAATCTTTTAAAACATTCAGTGTATTAGTTTTAGATTGATTTGAGTCTTCAGCCATATCTTCTAATGTTGTATTTATATATTCATAATCATTTTGATTGACTAACGTTAGATCATTCAATGGAAAGTCTATATTGGATTTTGGACTAATTTCGTTATCACCTGCAATAACTTCACTGTATTTTTCATTATATAAGTTTTGATAACCTTTATGACGATCTTCTCGTGATAAACGCTCAGTTATAGGAGTATCATCCATAGCATCATCCGATAAACACTGTTCAGCTGCATTTTTTTTTTGAACGATATTTCTAACTTCCTCATTTAAAATTAAAAAGTTACTAATTGTACTTGTTAAGACACAGTGTAGACGGTGTAAACGTTCATGTTCAATTTCATATAAATCGTATAATTTTATATTATCAAAATCAATAGTTAATTCATCAAGTGATTCAATTAATTTATCTATATTTTTCATGTTAATAATTAAATTAAACAAACATAGTAAATGATAAATAATTATTTTAAACGAATCAACTTTAAATGGATTTGCAAAAAAAAAACAAACTGTATGAATCAATCAAAATTTTTTTTAAAATAAATATTATTTTAATAAGGTTTATCAATCCATTAATCACAATTTATTATAAGTTTTTAATTTTTCCAATAACCTCATTACCTGATTTGTCTACTTTAGGTGAATTTAGTAAAAGATTATCTTCACTTCTGATAGTTTTTATAATCATTGCTTTGTTAAGACATATCAATTCTCCACCACACACCATTTCGTCTATTATCTTATAAACTTTGAAGAAATTGTAAACAATGTCTAATTCACAAACATTGTTAAAGTAATTATCTAAAATTTCTACTAATGAGTGTATAAATTGTAAAATTAGCAATTCATTCTCTAGGTTGTCTGTACATATTACAAAATATAAACTAGCATATCTTCTAAAGATTATTTTTTCATTTTCAAGTTCGAGAATGGACCCACTATCTATAGGCCGGTTAAGAATTTCATTTATGATTGCGTTTACTTTTTTACTTCGTTCTGTTACAGGTATATCGTTATAAAATTTTACATATCTTAGTTTACCCTGACGTGAGAATAGTAAAATTTGGTTAATCATATATTTGATTTTTTTAATCCCAGTTTCACTAAATATTTGAATTTTTTTTCAGTATTAGTATTTTAATGATTTCAAGTATGTAATAAAATTCCTAACCTCTACAATTATAATAGTTTTTGCAGGCGTATTTGATTCTTCTCCTAGTGTTATTTTTTGATTATTAAAGTCAACTGATAAAAATAAATAAGCTTTTTGTTTTGTGTAAAATAATATTATCTATTATCAATTTGAGCATAATTTTACAGAAATCGTAATTATTTAAATGTCGTTGTGTATAAACTTTTGCGAGAGTAGGATATCACAAATGTACCGTGGCTATATTACACATGTAGCTTGATATTTTCGCGTATCGTAGTATAATAAAAAGCTTTCTAAGTATTCAAAATTTGTTAGTTATACATACATGTAACCAATAACTTTTAACTAAGTTTTGATCCTGGTAATAGGCAATATCGAATATTTAGTGACAAGTCAATACTTGCTGATATTTTTTGGGCAATCTATCAACCGGTAATAGACAAGTAACTCTGCGTTTTATGTAACATAATTATTTAGCTAAAAATAGTGAAAAACATTTAATATTAAAAGCTTTAAAAATTGTTAAATTATAACGTTAATAAGACCGTAATTTCGCATAAAATTTTGAGGCGATAAGTACAAATTAATGCATAAAAATAGAAGCTAAAAGATATAGGATATTAATATCTGTAATTTCTGCCATTTTTAATAATAGGAAATAATTATTGTAAATTATGAAATGATTTTAAATATTGTCTCTAAATCCACGGTATTAACCTGCATCGTGTTAATATTCATGTATGAAGAATATGGGTTGATCATTCTGTCTATTATACTAACCTCACGCTTATTGTTTAAAATAATCATAAAGAAAAACTTACCAATTAAAATATATTATTTGAAATCACCTATTCTGGGACTGATCAGCTATCAAGATAAACTACTTATTAGTTTAGGCGGAGGTAAAAGTAACTATGGCTTAGAAAACGAAACTCGAATGATTAACATAGATGATCAAAAAACAAATGAACAGGATTTAGATTTTAGTAAGGAAATTATTTACCCACATGATACATGTAAATATAATTTCAAAAAATATGAAAACACTCATTTGTCATTTGGAAAAAAAATTAACAATAAGGCCCTAGATTTATTAACCGTTCTAGATAATAGACTTTACGGTGTATATGATAACAAAATTTATGTTTATTACGATTTACATGAAGAATTAATTGATATTACCCCTACGATTAATACGCCAAATGGCACGTTATCGATTTTTAAATATTACAAATCCACAATCAACTCATTTAGTGAATGGCAATCGTATTTGGTTTGTTTGGATTCAAGAAATAATTTATTTTTAATAGATTCAAAAACAAACTCATTTATTAAATATGAAAAATCGGTTAAAGCTGCTTATGTAATAACCAATTCATTTTATCTTCTATTAAAAAATGAAGTAGATGAATTATTATTATTTTACTCTACTAATTTAAATTATTATACCATTCCAATATTAAATTCAAAATTCTGTCATGTGCAATCTATTTCAGCAATAAATATTAACGATAAAATTTTATTATTTACTCGATCTGGTGAAAAATTAGAACAATTCCTACTTGATAAAAAATTAAATGGTATCAAGGAAAGTTACACTTTACACTGCCTAAACTCTAAAAAACTTCATAGCAGAATTATTAAAATAGACGTTAATGAGAATTATTTAACTGTTTTAACAAACAATGAATTTATTATCTATTCAACAAAAAATCTAATAAGGATTAAATCTTATTCAACTCCAAAATCTGATTTTTTACCACCCACGGGATGCACTTGGAACGAAAATTGTACAAAATTATTTGTTAGCACCGCTAGTTATTCATTATGTGTTTGTGATATTTCAGTCACAAATAGTAAATTAATGAGCATGTATGATGTTTTATTTTCATTTATTTTCTTTTTAGTTATATCAATGAAAACTCTAAATATATCTATTAATTATCTTTTTAGAATTATTTTGAAAATATAACATACATATAATGAAAATTACTAATTCGACAAACAATGTCATCGAATGATAATTCTAGTAATAAAGATATTGTATATGACAAGGAATATATTAAAGGTATACTTAAATTAGCAAGTTATTTTATAAAAAAAGAGGAAATATTTAAAAGAAATACTCTTGATTATTCATATCATATTTTAGATTTAAATCCAAAACTGATTGACAAGAATTTATTAAAACAATTAAAATTAAAAATTTTACCGTTACTTCATCCTGACAAATATTTTTGTTATGAAAAATATGACAGCAGCATACCACATTATTGCAAGATTTTTTCTAGAGCATTTGATATATTAGCTCAAACGATCAATAACTTAAAGTTGAATATTGATAATATAAAAAATTATCCTCAATTAAATAGTTGTAATCAGACAATTATCCCTTATTATTTTAACTACTTAGATGATGATGATATTAAAAAAAAATATTTTAATGGTCTCTTAAACCAATGTGAAAAGAAAACTATTCCAAAAGCGACACAACGTACAATAATAGCTTCAAAATACTATAATATTTCTAGCAATGATAATAGTATATCACAATCATATAATCAACTTATATCATTATTAAAAGATTCAAAAAAAAAAAAAAACAGTATAGAAATCTTTTCTACCGATGGCATGAACTTGATTAACAACACACTTTCATTAACTCTTGAGACAAAGTATATAATTAAAGTTTTTAAACACAATTTTACGTTAAGATGCTTTGTTTTATGCCCAAATATAAAAAATAATAATGTCGATCAATTAGCATTATTACGTAGACGTATATGCCAATACTATGAATTTGAAATTAAACATATTTCAAATTATGATCAGCTAGTTTTATTAATGAATGACATTGTTATTTTTGGAAGTGGTAAAAAATTCCAATACGAGTTTATTTGGTATGTTCAAAGCCCATCAGAAATGTATTTGCAATTTTCTTCTTTTGTAATAGAATTACCTCCAAAACAAAATCTAAATTTGTTTAATTTACAAATATCTTATGATATAGTCACTAAATTATTGCAAAATCCTGGTAAGTTTTTTAGCTATTAAATTTTTTTTTAGGATTTACAAAAATCTATAAAATTGATACATCACTAATAGATGTACAAATTAGTCAAAACTTAAAAACTAGTAAAAAAATAATAACATATTTAAATCAATTTTGTGACTGTATAACAACGGCCATTGTTAAAAGTGATTAAAGCAATTATGGTTCTTCAATAAAAATGACGATTAGAGTTATATTGTCAAAGTTTTTTCAATGGCATTCAGTCTAGATTCTATATTTTTGATAATGTCGTTTTTGGATCTAAGTCTAAATATTTCAGCGACATTTGTATAATGCTCATTTTTTTCGCTGTCCATAATATATTTTTTTAGTTTTGTTAATTGATTTTTTTCGGTTGTCAATTGTTGAATTTCGTATGCTTTTTGAAGTTTTTGAATGTTTATGTCTTTGCGATCCATTGTTAGACGTTTACTAATATTAAATATATTTTTGTTAACAAAATATAAAATAAATTCATTGATCTTAAAGCTTAAATGGATAAATTACGAATTAGAAATAATTATAAATTAAGTATACCCACTATCGAGCATAATAGAGGTAGTTTAAACAAAAGAAATCTTATTTTAATAATAATTAATAATTATTGTTTTTAATATTTTTTAGTGATAAATAATATTTAATATAGCCATGAAAACTCAGCTGTTACGATAGTAACAATGCTAAAAATTTTAATTACATTCTGGTTTAATAAAATCAGCAATCTTATTTAAATTAGTATTTTTTAATTCACATAAATCTGGACAAATACATTTATTATATAAACAAGTATTTTTCTTATCGACTGACCTGTAAGTAATACTAATACGTCGATTTCGACTAATGCGTAATCCAGTAGAATAATCAACATCAGTACTTCGACGTTTAATAGAATGTAAATAAGAATATCGGCTTTCGTCCGCCATAATAATTAAATCTCTCGGAAGAATCATATACGGATATTCTGTTTGTGATAGTGCTTCTCCTTTAAAGCAAAATTCGATTGGACTAATTAAAGATATAATTAAGATTTCTGGGCCAAATTGAGCATGTTTATCGACGTGAAAATTTATACCTGAACTATTAATATATTCATTTATGGTGATTTGGTTCATATTTCCAGTAAATTTGATATATTTTAAAGTTCTATTAAAAAATTTGATGAAAATATCTGGAATTAGTTGACTATTATTATGCATATTTAATTCAGAAAGATTTCTTGTATAATAGTCAAAAGCAATACCGTAATGTTGAACTCTACGACTTATCTGAGTACTCCATTTTTGACTATCAATAAAATTGATCAGTTCAAGTTCTTCACTAGGTGTAATAAATTCATTTATTATTTTTAAACCAGGAATTAAAGGTGTTGGTTTCAATCTGACATTGAAAACTTGTTGATATTCAAAGGATTCGCGGTTTGAAATCCCGCAACGTAAATAAGAATAAAAAAAATTTGAATATTGAGGAAATTTTTCTATATCAATTGAGTAATTTGTGTGTTCCCATTTACTAACATCAAGTATATTAACAAATTTATATCTTAAATTTAATTTAGACAACAAAAGTAAATGTTTTTCGTCAATTATCTCTTTTGTTTTTATAACAATGTAAAATCTTTTAGAAGAACTAATTTTAGTTTTATATGTTTCTTCGATATTGCAAATGTATTCTGATACAAAATTTTGGATTTTATCAGGACTACCAATAATACCTAAAATGTTTGTAGGTGTCTTGGAAAATACAAAACGATGTAATTTGCTCTTAGCTAATAAAGCATTGTTTTGAGTATCCAAAATATCAATTGTAATATATTCGTCCATTAATTTTAAGATAAAAAAATTATACTATATTATACAGCAAATAATAAAAGACTCTAATAAAAAATATCGCTTTCTTCACCATTAGAAATTATTTCATCTTCGGTGCCATTTATTTTTAATTTATTAAAAAATACGCTTTGATCTCTATCATCATAATCATCGAAATCATTTTTGTAATTCATTCTCCTTAATTTATGTGGTAGTTCTTGTATAACATCGTAAGCTAAGCCACCGCCGTCCCATTCAATTTTTGCTAAATCAGCGTCATCGTATTTAACAGATGCACTTATATCTCGTAGATCAGGCGGTATAGTATAATAATCTGCACACGGTATTTGGTCAAGTCTATTTAAATGATCATATACTTGCTCGCGTATAACATTGCAAAATGATGGAGTATTTAAGTTTGTCATGCTTGCGTCTGGTTCTAAATGTAATTGATAATTTGGACCAAAATATTGATAATACTCATTAGGAGGAATTTTCTCATTTATTATGTTATGGCATCCAAGTGTTATAGCTGTTTCATAAAGCCAGGCGCGTGCTACATTTTTAATTGTATAGCCTCCGCCTCCTAATATAAGTAAAGGCAGACCAAGACTTTTTGTCCATTCTACACAAGATCCATGCCCTTTAGTACTTAAATTAAAGCAACCTAACCTATCGCCTACAATACTGTCGGCACCACATTGAAGAACAATGGCGCTTGGCTTATAAGTTTCAATACATTTTGAAATTATATCTTTATACAATGGAATGAATAACTCATCGTTCATACCACTATTTAATGGTACGTTAACTGAATAATATTTTCCTGAACCGGCCCCAATATCTTTGATATCTCCTGTACCGGGGAAAAAATCTCCGTATTTATGAAAGCTAACTGTCATTACTCTGTGACATAAATAAAAGGCTTCTTCAACTCCATCTCCATGATGTATGTCAATGTCGATATATAATACTCTGACATGATATTTAAGAAGCTCAAGAATAGCCAATACAATATCGTTTATATAACAAAATCCACTAGCCTCTGAGCGTTTTGCATGATGCAACCCTCCACTCCAATTTACTGCAATATCACATGTTTTATGATTTAGTTGTATAGCTGCATCAATACTTGCTCCAGCACAAGAAGCTTGAAATTCAAGAAGATTATCAAAAAGGGGACAATCATTTCCTTCCCCAATATTATATTTTAGAAGTTTATTTGAAAAAAGTAAGTAATTTTCAATTCCTATAGATGATAAAAAATCAACGTAGTCGTAATCATGGAATTTGGTTAATTCATTGATAGATGCGATATGAGGATGATAGACATCCATTTGTCTGTATAAACTATAAGAAAGAATCAAACTATGAGCCATTCTTATTCTTTGTGGTTTCATTGGATGACCAGATCCGTAGTAATAAGATCCTACATCTGGATCATAAAAATACGATACTTTTTTTTTTGTAGTGTCTGCTTGTAGGGCAAACGACTTTGAGAAATTCGATAAATTAGACATCTGTAAAAAATTTAATACTGTAGCTATCTAAATAATCACTGTATGTTTAATAATCAATAATCATAAAAATTTTAGAGATACAGAAAGATTTTTTTATCTTCGTTAGTTTTTCGAATAGGAATTTATTTCTTCTTATAAAAGAGTAATTAAATATGCTTTAATTTATTATATAATTAGACGTTGATAATATTAAAAAGTTTTTGATACTAAATTCGACTCGTAGTTTACCAACAGATTATCTGATTAGGAAAAAAAAGTCTAGATATCGATAATAACGGTAATTATAAATAGATTAATAACCTAAAATAATAATAATATAATTAATCTGATAATACTTGCAACTTGTACTCTCGTTCTAATTGCTTGTTATTTCTTACAACCCGTTTAACTATATACTGATGATCTGAATTAAAATCCAAGATTGCTATTTTATTAACACTAGATGCAATGCGTTGATATGCCATAATTTTAGCAACAGAAATATATTCGCCATTGTAACAATATATTAAATGTTTCGAATGAGTGCTATTCACATCGCCTAAAATAATCTATGACACATACATACCACAATATTCTGCATAGTTAGCTCCATATTTTTTAGCTTCAAGGTGATTAAACATGGATACAAAGCACAATTAACTTTATTAGTTATAAATTGTTAAAAATATAATATATTATTCGAAACAACAAATTTACTACTACTAAGCAACAACTGGTCCTACCATGTGTTTTGTAGTCATTGCTGTTTTTATTGATTGGCGAACAATAGCGCATGGACCTCTGTCTTTTTTTTGATTAGCTAAATTGTTACTTAAATCCATCGTAGGATCTTCTAAAAACCAATTAAAAGGTCGTATCATAGAGCTTAAAGTGTTACCTATCGGGATTGTTAGTGGGTAATCTTCACTTGCTGGTATGTGCATGAAATTCATAGACATCCAGGTAACTAAATCAGCGGATTTGACTGGTTCATCATCTGAAATGTAATTTTCGACCGAAACTGCATAGTCAGCTGCGAATTTATTGTCTCTGGGTAGCGTAGCATCAAGTTCTGATTCTTTATACACTGTTGTAAATATTTTATACTTCGCCCAAGCTCCTGGCCCATTATATAAATCATGGTTAAGTAAATGTGGACTCCAACTGACACTAGGTACAGCTCTCCAACCTCTAGGATTGTTATATATCGTATTGTTGTCTGCTACTATACTATATCCAATGCTACGAGAGTCAGTTATTTTTATCGCAGCTTCTTTTTCTCTTGATGGAAAGTATTTTTTCATAAAATTTGCTCCAGAACGCTTCGGATCCGCAATGACTTCTTCAAAATAAACTGAATTTTTTTCATAATTCATTAAATCAAAATCATATTTCCATACAGCCAAGTGAGCGTGTAGTGCACCCATCCGTAAAGATCCAGTTACTTGCGTTCCATATGGCTCTTGTCTTGCTGAGTACCACGGTATCTCGACACCAGCATACAATTCTCCGGTAAATGAAATAGTTGATTCAAGATGGCCTGATGAATGAAAAGTATATGTCACAATATAATCATAATTACTGACCGTTATCATTTGTCTGACGTTTAAACTGTAGTGACCTGCCGCATCTTTTATATTGCCTGATCTGTAATGAGATCTTATGGGTCGTGCTTCATCTTTTTCAAAAATACACACACTTTGATTGTGAAATAACAAAACTCCAGTTTTAGGACACTCATAGCCTCTTAGTATAGGTCTGGCTGAACCACCTAAACCTCCGTACCAAGAATCCATAAAAAAAAAAGTACGTTCAGCAACAGTATAATGTGCCATTGCTTCTTGTAAGCCCATATTGAACAGAATGCGCTCATTTTGAAAGTATACATTCCAAAATTGTAAAGATTTATCTCTGTCATTAGTTATAATGAAACTCCAGCCTAAATAAGAAATTGTATAACTATTATCTTTTGGATGTACTTTTATCTCATATCTTTTACCGTTTGGTTCCACATGTTCTGGAGGTAAACGATACTCTAAACCACTTCTATATTTTTTCACGGGAATGTCTACCCCAGCAGTACCTGGACCTCCAGCAAAAGGTTTTGCTTCCAAATTCCGCAACGTCTTTTGTTCTACTTCTTTAATACTTATTAATTCTCTATTTTTACGTATGTCGTTCTTTAGGTTAGTTAAATTTTCATAAAACAGATTATTCCAATATACTCCACCATTAAATTCATTCCAATCATAACTTTCAAGAAAAAAAATAAATTTATCAGTAGATATGTTTTTGTCATTAGAAATTTCACTTTCTAACTGTTTTTTATCGAAAACAAAAAAAAACTTAGTATCGTTTGCATTAGAGTACTTTAAACCAACAAAAAATTTATCATTAAATATCTCGTCATCGGTGAAAGATATTATATTTCCAATATAAAGACAATCGTCGTATGCGTTTATAGTAGGTCGTACACAATCTATTGTGTGGAATTTACGATTAAATAAAGTAAATAGTATGAGTTGGATTTGCTCCAGAGAAGAGTGATTTTCATTATTAAGTCTACGACCAAATATACCATCGGTTTTATATCCAGAACAAGAAGTTTTTCTAGGATTTGCAATGCGACGCCATTCCATTTTGTTAGCGTTAAGTGGACCAACAACTAATTGCTCGTAGAATCCATGATCGGACAAACAACGACCTAAACGCACTCGGGCATATCGATCTGGTAGTTCACCTCTATTATCGTAATAATCATAAATTTTTTTTTTATCAAGGAATAAATCGATTCGATAAATTAATTCAACATTCCAGTCTGACGAGTTTGCTAAAAAACTTTTCACCAAAACTTCTTCTTCAGTTGTTATGGGATCGAAGGGAGTTTTTTCTGTCGTTCGGCTAAAGAGTTTCGGATATACTTCGGCCTTACAAAAGTTTCCATAACTAGTTATTGACAGGCTATTTGTTATCATTTCAGATTCACTTGTATAATTTTCTTTGTTCAAATCAGAGGCAATACAATATATTTTATACTGAACATTTGGTTCTACTCCTCTGATTTTAAGTATATTCTCAGATGCTAAATTAATGTCTGCATCACTTTCTTCGAAACGAACGAAAGAAGCTACTTCAAGCACATTTGCTAGACTAGGAGGCGATCGTTTTGCTTTTGAAGCTGCACAATAAACTATGCCCGCCGTATCCGTTTGAACGGAAAGATCAAAACCATGATTCACAACAACTACACGTGTTATAGTTAGTTTGGGAACGTGATTTTGAATTAATATATTAACGGATTTACCGTTAATATCTTTCATAGAAATTTTAGCAATTTCATTGGGTGTTATGTTTTTTTTAGGATAGGCAAAATCTTGTGCTGTACAATACAATTGATAAATGGTGTTTATTTTTAAGTTTTTAAAAACAAAATTTTGCGTAGTAGCGGCGGCATAGTTAAGTTGAAGACCGAGACTTCTTATCATATCGTTATTAATTTGAACAGAGCTATTTATAGGAAGTGTGTAACACCATACTATTGATTTTTCATCTACTTTTAGCGTGATATTAACTGTTGTATCTTGGTATGTAATTTTTAATAAACTCAGTTGTGTGGGACTTGTATCAGTTATGATTCGCCTCCTGGTCGCCGCGATCTCTTCATTTGTCATTTCTAAATTTTCTATGCTAGTCTCGCTAAATGCCATATAATTTTTAATTTCGCTGCTATCTACAACTTCAGAATAACAATAAACATCAAAAATGATATTTTCCTTCACAAAAGAACCAGTTATTTCAACTGTCAAAGTATCATTGTTTACTTCACTTATTTTGTTGGCTTGAACACCATATTCTTTTAATATTTCTCGTGTTGGTATTGGAAATCTAACAGACTCGTTTTTCATAGCTTCTGTAAGCCCACAATAGACTTTCAAATTTGGGTATAAAGTTCTTACTTGAATGATAATAGTCTGTGGATGGTATTCCAAATTTAAAATATATATTGTTCCAATTGTAATATCGATTGCTATCATGTTATCAGACTTGTTAAAGTTTTTCATTACAGTATATTTTTTATTGAAAAATTTTAGTTCAAATAAACTATCTAACCAACCTTCCTTTGAAGTATCGTTAAAGCGAACAATATAATTACCAAATGATGGAAGACAACATTTAACCCAAATTCCTGTAACTGCAAGAAGAGAAGAACCTCGTCCACTACATGACAATGCTCCATCTATAGTCCAATGTTTATTTTGGGGAAAATAACTTGCCATCATTCTTGCCTCTCCACAAATTGAATAATCGTTTGTTGAAAAATTATTCTGCGTTAAAAGATTCTGGCTCGCACATTTGCCTTCTGATATATGAATATCCTTGAATGCTATAGAGGCTAGCTCAGAAAGACCAGAAGTGGCTGTAATAAAAATGTTTATCATTTGCTTTCTAATCAGTTTTAAATTTATCCTTGCCTGATTCCACTGTGAACCTTTATTACCATTTTCCTTCCATAAGTAATTGACAACTGACGACTTTGGTTTCAGAGATTTATTTCCTATCTCTTTTGTAAAGTAACTAATCTCTAAACTATTCGTGTCCACTCCATTCATGTAATAATAAAACTCTAAGCAATAATCTTCATCAGATAAAATTAAAGGAGGTAAGAGCAATGAAGCAAGATGCCCGGATCCAATATAACCTGGATTACGAAAAAGAGCGTAGTTATTATTATTAGATTCGGTAACAAGATCAGTTTTTCGTTGATTATCTATATCATAAACCGCGAGTTGTAAATGATCTACGTTATCGATATTTTTAGGTTCAGTTTCAATTAATCTAGCTAGTGGATTGCTGATTGTCCAAATTAAATTTAGATCTCTTTCGTGTTGAATAATTTTTATTCCATATTCTTCAAAGTTTTGATGTTTAAAATCACACTGAAACAAAATGTCTGGTCTAATTTGAATTGCGCCTGCTTCTTGCCAAAAATAATCAGAGCTTATGTTATTTATATCAGTTTCTGAAGTATTTAAAAGCGATTTCTTTGTTAAATAACATATTTTAGCGTTTTTAACATAATCAGGCAAGTCAATTTTGAAGGTAGCAACATAATATGTCGAATTGTGCGATGAATCATCTGTTATAACGTGTTCACTAAGATCATAAATGATAATATTATCCAAAACTGCTTTTGAAAAAACTGGGGTGTTTTTAGTTCCACAGTCACTAGTATAAGGAATTACTATAAACATGTCTCCTTTATCAAGATATTGCCCTTGAACGGCTATTTCGCATGGCTTGGCTTCGGAACAGTAATGAATGCGTTTTGGCCAAACTTTTACTTCTTCGAGCGAAGAAGCATTATAAGTGTCGCCTTCTTGAATGTAAACTCTATAAATATCTTTATCACAACCAATAAAATCATTCTTTATAGTTTTAAGTAGTTGGGTTCGATTTTTATTATATATGAGATTAGAACATGGAGTGATATGTGCTTTCAATGTACTACATAATAAAATATATATCTTTAAAACTTGCATTTGCTGAATCAAAGTTCTCTTTTGAGAGAAATTTTATAAAAAGTCATTTAATTTTTTATGAAGTGTGCGTAATATCTCTTGTTAATAAACCAAAATATTTATCTTCGAAGCTTGAAAAAACTGTCATAACACCTGCTTTAATATATAAAATTTATCGTTTTATTTCATTTTAAGATATTATATAACTAGTCCTAAATATTCAGCTATCTTAATTTGTATTAATACTGGAAGGCAAACTCTCTGTTCTTTGAGATTACTAGTAAATATACAGGCCTCTGCATTTTTAACATAATCAAGATATAATCTTTCTAAGTCAGAATGATCGATTGAAAGTTGGAAATCTTGAAACGCGTTCTTAGAAGATTTCAAGATGTTTGCACATTTAATTTTTTTTTTAATCAAGATATCTTTTGTGATTAAATAAATTTTGATAAAATCAAGGATGAACTGAATTAAGTTGCATAAAGCGTTTGTGACATCAGCTGAGACCTGGCTTGAATAGCATAAACTAATGTTTTGTTGTTCTCTCTGAGCTTGTTTTTGCCATAATAACATGCAGGAATAAGCTGAGTAATTATATGTATTTTTATTGAAAAGTGACACACCAGATTTTATAAGCAACATGATGATTTGAAATTGATTTGTAAATGTATCTTGATTGTTATTATGTAAGGAATCGAAACATGCACATAAACCCATTTTTAAAGATACAGCCTCAAACGGTTCAATACTAGGAGTACAAGATGAATATAAACTGAGAGAATTTTCATTATTCTCAATTTTATCATTATAAAGTTTATATTGATGCAAATTTAGAGCATTACAATTTTCAAATTCTCGAGGTAAAGGTGTGAAATATTCCTGCAGTAAATTTTTACCCTCTACTGATACAGTAAATATATCTGCGCCTTTGGAAATCAGTTCTTGAAATATTTTAATAGAAGCACGTTTCACAGCTAACTGTAACATGTTTAACTGAATGTGTTTTTTATTTATTAATGGCAATGCATATGCCGGTATTTCGATTATTGTGTTTAAACATCTATTGTTAAGCTTAAGTTCTGTATGCAAAATTTCAGGAACGTCATTTATAATTGCATTTACAAGGACATAAGAAGGGGAAGTAACATATTTGTTTTTATAGGGTGAACATCCGTTTAAACTTATTTGCCGTATTATTTTTAAATTGTTCGGTGTGCATGAAAAATTTTGTTGTAGCAGATCTCGACGCTCCGATAACAAAGGACCTAATTCTTTATTAACGTAAAAAGAATTTGGAGGCTTTATTACATTTTGTCTTTTGGCACTTGGAGGCGTTTTTATGTAATTTTGATTAAAATATGTAGATTTAAAATTAACTGTACGTAAAAAATTTTCAGGTTGCCGGTCTATATCTTTGTTTTTACGATCTACGTCTTGATAATTATTTTTTTTAAGCTGAATGTAATTGTAATTCTTGGTTGTACTATTGTTGCTGAAATGAGGATCAGGATTTTTAATTTCTTTATCGATTCGTAGCTTTTTAGTGAATTTAGTTCTGATCTTTAGTTCTTCATACATCTTATATTATAATAAATTTGTTGAACAAACAATTATGTTGATCAAGAAATTTTTGATACTCTTTGTGTGGTCATATTTTTTAAATATGAAATAATATTTTTTTAAACAAGATTTAGTAATTTAGACATTTTAAAAAAGTAAGATTATTGTCACAAATACTCAATCTTACTTTATCAATAAGCGATGGATCCTCGATATGCTGAAGAACAAATAAAGGACACGCTACAAAACACAATGAACAATACTCTTTACTCGATTTCAAAATCGTATTTGTCACAAGGTTTAACAAACGAAGGGTTTTTTAATGCTACGGCCAATAGTATAAAAAATCGAGTGAATAGTTTTTATAATCAACTTTTACAATTTATCTACCCGTATTTTTTCGTGACAAATTCAGAGATTTTTTACAGATATTTGTGTCTGTTTTTTCCGTATTTATGGATGTTCCGAAAAGAAAAACGAAAAGTACTATTAACACAAGATTTGTACATACCTCTAATGAACTCTTTGTCTTATGTTTGCTCGTATGCGGTTGCAAAAAGTATTAAAAATAGCTTTACTCCACTGATGATAAACAGGAGAATGAGTTTGGTATTTACAAGCATAGTTATTGAAGCATTGATATTTTGGATGTGTACAGATAAAACTCGAAGTGTAAATAATCTTTTCGCAATCTCCATTGTATGCAGTCATAAATTCTTATAGTAAGTTAAAAAATAGAAACTTCTGGCAGTGCAACAATTTTAAATCTTGTTAATATTGTAATCAAAGGAACATTAAACATAGTTTTAAACCTTATAATGTTGATTACTTTGAACGTTTTAATTTACTTAGTATTGGGGTACATCTGTTATGGTAGCGTCGATGAATCACGCTATGATAATTCTTCAAGGTTGAATAACAACCGCACTTATAATTATAAGACTAAATCATTCAATAGCATATTGAAAAGTATGCGTTTGCTGTTGTGTATATTCGATTCCTTCCTGGCGTACATGTTTATACCCAGGTAAATATATTGATCGTTTTACTGTTAGATTGTACATCAAGTTGAATGATTTTATTCACTGCTAGAATGAAATAATGGGTTGTCAAACTGAACCATTTTTTCGTTTTCAGTGCATAGTTCTAGTTTTTTTTCTATTTGGCAGTACCGGACTTGAATATATTGTGAAATTTCAATAGTAGTAGCCACTCTTTTCAAGTTTTGCTGAACCGTCCATCGTCTGTTCACTTCTTGTATCTGCGTGGGAACGACACCACAGTTCAAATTGTTATAGCTTTCAAGTACATCAGTTAGGCCTATACCAGAGTTGTGCAGTACTTCAACTATGTCTGAAATAATACAGCGAAAAAAATTATTTTTTGTTGCTAATTCGTCTAATTCTAAAATAACACTTTTAGTGTATTTCCTGCTAATTAACGACCGGCAAAATAGATGGACTAGTAACAGATATAAATTGTGAAGTGGAACCTCAGCTTCAATTAAAAGTAAGCATTTTTTTTCAGTTAATTTTTCTTGATTCGTTGACAGTTGTATTACTGTGTATAATTCTTTTTGTTTTTTAATGTATTTCATTATTTTTTCTTCTAACATCGAACTAGATTCCTTGGAATTGAAAAAATTTATATCAATTATAAGTAATAAATCCGCAAGTAATGATATTATCTTCATATTGTGAACACAATTTTCAAGTATTATCTCAACCACAGTTTCTAAATTTAGCCTTTTGTGAGAACTAAGTATTTTAATTATATTATCTGAAATGTTGATAAAGTTAGAAAAACTGAGCTTGTTGAGTTCTTGTTTAAATAACCGTAATGGATGAGAAAGTTTCTAGTGAATTTTCAACGTGGAAAACTTACTACATTGGTGTAAAATTGAGTTATGATATCAGACATTATAATATATAGAATAGATAAAACAAATAGTTAAACGATACTAATTCGTTAGATTGACCTTTAAATTATTAATTATCTTTTTTTGAATTCATTCGTTACACGGTAAAACTCAAATACATCTAAATATTGATTGCTCACAGGGCGGAACAATTCAATTATTATTTTCGAGTTGAAATTTTCATTTACAAAAATCTAATTTAATACTTAAATAATAATAAAATAATAGCTCATTTTTGTTGAAAATTTTAAATTATTTGCTCAACAGTTAAAAAACTTTTTTGTGTCGCTATCAATTTATTTCTGTTGGAGTTAGGCTATCCAAAGTTTAGAAAAGTAGTTAAATAATTAATAAGTTTGCACTTTAATGGTATAGTTTGTGCTTGTTATGAATCACTCAGATCAGTTAATATATTCTGAGACGTCTAATTATGCTCCTCTGGTTTCCAGTCTGCTGGATAAAATTCAGTGCGCTACAGTTGTTCACCGATACGTGTTAACTCAAATTGTCGAAAAGCTATCTGCGCTTGAACAGCAATTGTTTGATTTGTGTCGTAGAACTGCTTTTTTTTGGAATAGAGCTGACAATCCAACTACTGCTCTTGCTAATCAAAATCTCTGTGATGCAGTTGTTTCGAACTATCTACCTAAATTAGCAACAAAGTATATCGAAGAGAAAAATAGTGCTTTACGAAACAACGACGGGTACACCTTTGGTGAAATTGTATTGGATTACGACAGATTACTAGTAAAATGCTTAAACCAGCATAAATTTTGTGAAGTTTTTATTGAAGATATAAAAAACTACCAAATGTCAATAATCAACTTAAAGTCAAAGATAAACGACGAAATTGTTTCTCAGTTCAACGTTTTGCGCGAACGCTCTACTATATTATCGTGGAAAATTTTTAAAGTTTATTTGAAGATTAATTCTAATGCAAACCACAACTACAGTCACAGGGATGATTCTCACTCTGAGGAAATTATTAAATCTACAATAAGTAACTTATTGGTGGGAATGAATCAAACAGACGGTATTATTAATAAAACTAAAAATCTACAAGCCCAGTTCAAGAAAACTCAGTCTATCAACTTTGAGACTAGGGAAGAAATAGATAAAAACCACATTCTAGCTTTGATTGAACGAGTTATCGCGGTCAATAATAAATTAGAAAAAAAACTCAAAGAAAAAAAGGCTAAATCCAAGCGCGCTTTATCAGATCTCTAATATTTAACGTGTATACTTATGTGGGCATCAAAGTAAAAACTTAGTCTCGAAGACCCGGATGCAAAAATAAGTATGTAAGTATGTTTTCTTTTATGATTAGGGCATATTTTTTTTCGCACCCGGAATTTTTGACTTGTGTGCAATGGTCTCAGTACAGAGTAAACAACATAAACCTAGAGTTGAATATCACGACAGCTTGAAAAGACTTTTTGAGATTCTAAACGATGTAGGTATTCAATATGAACTAGTTTTAGGAAATTATTAAAAATGAACCGACAAACCCGATTTTTTTTATAGTGGATTTCTTGTGCAAGAATTATCCTCAAAATCTTGCAGGTTTTGCGTCGATATGGTTTGCGTCTCCGGAGCTGCAACAAGAACGTTTACTAGTTGCGGAATTTTTCCGATTTTACAAGCTTCCCGTTGAGGTAGCTGCTCATTTTACAAACGCCGGGTTCGATACTTTAGACACGTTGTGTGTTTTAAACATTGAGAGCTTAGAAGAGATCGAAAAGTTTAATAAAACTAATTGGTTACCCGGTCATAAAGTTCGCATAAACAAACTGTTCAACGATATCGCAATGAATGTCAGACGATTTAGGAAGGAAAAAGAAAAATTGTTACATATCGCCCGTATGACAAACGGTCAATGCGAACATCCTACCGTCGTCACGCGTACAAACATACCTAAGATTTCTTCCCAATTTACCTACAAATAGCAAACATGCTTCACATCAATTGTGTAAAAATTTTTAATAATTCATTATTCGACTTTATGTCACTGCTAAACTTCGGTATAGTTCAGTGTTGGCTAGTCTTTTTACAGTTATATTAGTTTATTTTATTTATGTGCTTCTTATTGATCTTTTTTGGTTAACATCATTAATTAATTTATAATATAAGCTTTTAATTTGTTTTTCAGATAAATTCTGGTTTTGACTGCTTTTGCCAGCTAATATGTCCAAATTCTGAAAATAAATTATTAATAAAACTTACCTTTAAAACGCGTAAAATTTCGATTTTTCCAATGAAAGTCGACGTATCGACTGTTTGATAAGTTTGGTTTTTTAACTGGTTTGGAGCAAAAGCAAGCAAGTCTAAAAGTAATTGAATATAAGGACTTACGTTCTGGCAGGATCTTCGTTAACTCTAAGCTCCCATCAATTAATTTCTCTATTTCACTTTTGGCTATCATAGCCTTTGGGCTTATAGCTGTACTAGTAGATTGTAAATCTTCCAGTCCCTCAATTAAATTTTTATCTATATCATCAATTCGGTTGTT